ACAACCACACAGCTCAAGTACTGGTTCCCACAGGAAGTTACCCCATGTTAGAAGCAAAGGACAAAAAATTAGTTCTGGCCCAGGCACACCACCAGCACGTTGGGGCCTGTTTGGGAACTGGAGCCTTGGATCTGGGGACCGGACCCCACTCCCACTTCCAGGCAAACTGTACCAGTGCATGGGGGCCGGCATGGTGACCTGAAGCATGGAGAAGAGGACTGGACCCCCCCCTCCCACAACCAAGCACACCACGCCAGAACCTCGGAGCCCACCAGGGGACCCAGGGCATGGAGAAGGGGACGGGACCTCTCTCCCACAACCAGGCACACCACGCCAGCACCTCGGGGCCTGCCTGGAGACCCAAGGCAAGAAGGGAAATGGACCTCTCTCCCACAACCAGGCACACCACGCCAGCACCTTGGGCCCCACCCAGGGACCCAGGGCATGGTGATGGGGACTGGACCTCCCTCCCACAACCAGGCACAACATGCCAGGCCAGCACCTCAGAGCCCACCTAGGGACCTGGGGCATGGAGAAGGGGACTGGACCTCTCTCCCACAACCAGGCACAAAAAGCCAGTGCCTTGGGGCCCACCCACATTCCTGGGGCAAGGAGAAGGGGACCAGACCACCCTCCCAGAACCAGGCACACCACGCCAGCACCTTGGGGCCTGCCTGGAGACCCGAGGCAAGAAGGGAAATGGACCTCTCTCCCACAACCAGGCACACCGCGCCAGCACCTTGGGCCCCACCCAGGGTCCCAGGGCATGGTGATGGGGACCAGACCTCCCTCCCACAATCAGGCACAACATGCCAGCACCTTGGAGCCCACCTAGGGAACTGGGGCATGGAGAAGGGGACTGGACCTCTCTCCCACAACCAGGCACAAAAAGCCAGCCTTGGGGCTCACCCACATTCCTGGGGCATGGAGAAGGGGACCAGACCACCCTCCCACAACCAGGCACAAAAAGCCAGCCTTGGGGCTCACCCACATTCCTGGGGCATGGAGAAGGGGACCAGACCAC